ATCATGGTCTACAGAGGGAGTTCCAAGACAGCCTCCAAAACAATACAGAGAAACCCTGTCTTGAAAAACCAAAAAAAAAAAAAAAAAAAAAAAAAAGAGAGAGAGACATAAAACTGACCTATAATCAAAGTGTCATAGAATCTAAATCACAGAAATTTCAGGTGGTGCTACTATTACAAAGGATAGTTCAAGACAGTGCAGCTAATTACTGAATAATAGAATATATGAACACAAAATTCAGGTCTCCAAGGATGTTTATACCACTAAGTAGTCACGGCATAAGAATTCAGCTCCCAAATAGTTGTGACAACGGTCCATGTAGGCTTTATTCTAAATAGAAGTGTTTTGTGTTACTCTTGCTAGGAAAACTGCTGGATGGTGCTATGGCTACTGGTGGTTTGGAGAGAAATCAATCTTGCTGGCCTACAAGTGTTCAGACTTTTGTAAAGACTAAATATACAAAGAAGGTACATCTCACCTGAGTTAGACCAGCACAAAATTCAAGCCATTTTAGTTCCGATTTGAGGAGGAATGTACAAACCCAACGACATCCTCTCTTTCTTGGAAATCAACATGTCTTATGAATTAAGAGAATTCCAGTCATTAGACTTTAGGATGATTCCGGTTTCCCATGACACCTGCCGTTATATTTCCTTTCACCTTAGAAGTACATTGAGCAACTCTATAACTCAAAAGATAAAATCTTTGGATAGCTTACATCACACCACACCCTTGCACAAATCCTCCATTGCCAAAAGTGATCAGGGTGTGGTTTCTTTTTTTTTTTTTAAAGAAATCTAATGAATACATCTCACATATACTATATGGCATTTTTTAAATCAGGCAAAATAATATAAATTATTTATCCCTACATATTTTCATCTAAGAAACTAGAAATATAGCTTACCATTGTGAAGGTCTATAAATATTTTTTGTTTCAAAGTAAAGAAAATGAAAAGTAAACTCTTAAAAAAAAGATAAAAATGAGCTGGTAGTGGTGAAGCTTTAACCCCAGCCCTCAGGAGGCTGAGGCAGGCAGATCTCTGTGAGTTTGAGGCCACGCTGGTCTACAGAGAGTTCCAGGGTAGGCTCCAAAGGTACCCAGAGACCTGTGTCTCATCCACATCTTAGCTTAGCCAGCTTAGGCTGGCTCCACTCTACTCCTGCTACTGTCCTTGGTAGACAATCCACAGTCCCAGCATCTCCAGTACCCTGGGTCTCTATTCAAACTGAGGTTGAACCTTCACCAATGTCCTCTCTTGGTGTCTCTTAGATATGTCCATCATGCCAAACTGTGCCAAGCTTTAGCTTCTTTCCATGACCCCTTCAGTCCGGTGACTTTCATCCCCTTCAAAGCCAGTACCGGGTGAGTGATGCTTTCCCGTTGTCAAGTTCAGTTTTCTTCTTTAGACCACAGCTTCTGTGTGCTGTAGACACGTGTGTCCTGAGGAAATGTGTCCCTGTTCTCCCATTGAATTGCAGAAGATATTTACATCAATGATGTTGATCTCGTATTAATAATAGCTGGTTCTTCAACTGACCAGAAACGACAAACTCTTAGTAACGATCTCATAAGAATGACCCCTAGTCTGGTTCTAAATTTAGTATTGCACCCTTCTCAAACCTGAGCTAAGCTCCCTGAGACTGCTTTTTCCTCAACATTGTCTTTCAAATTTCTATAGCAACTGCTCATCAAGCTCTACATAGTCAATGGCTTTTACTCTAAAACACCAAAATTCTCCCTAATACTCCAACAGTATCATTCCAAGCATAAAACAAAAACAACAACAACAAAAAAACCCACATGGTCAGGTCCATCACAGCTGCACCTCACTTTCCTGACACCAATTTTTATTTCTGTTGCTGTGATAAAATACTCTAACAAAATCAATGTGGGGAGGAAAGGTTTTATTTTAACTTATACTTCCGGGTCACAATCCATAACCTAGAGAAGTCAGGGCAGAAAATTTACTAGAAACTTGAAGTAGAAACCATCAAAGAACACTGTTGGCAAGCCTGGTCTCTGAATTCCTCACACTTAACTAGCTCTCATATCCGGTCCAGGATTAGTGCCTAAAGATGATGCCATTCACAGTGGTCTGGGCCCTTCCACATCAATTAATAGTAAGAAAATCTCCTATACACATGTCACAGCCCAGTTGCCCTTCTCAGATAACTCTAGGCCATGTCAAGTTGACTAAGCTAAGACATAAACCATTCACAGCAAAAGCACCCTACAAGGTCTTCTGAATTGGCTCTATAATGTTATATATTCCATCATCCGCCTACTCTGCTTAGTCACGCTGGCTTTCTTAGCCATTGACTAAAATGGTAATTACTCAGTGTCTTAGCCCTTGCTACCTATACTTCCTGGATTGTCCTTTTATCAGATAACTAAGTAAGTCACTTTCTCATCCCCCTCCTCTGCCCTCTGTATAATTATTGTATTAGACAAAGGACCTACCTCATTTATTAAAATAGGGTCTCATATGCTGAACAGGCCTTGAAAGCATGACGCCAGTGAAGATAGCCTTGAATTCCTAATCCTTTTGTCTCAGTCTCCCAAATACTTGAACTTGTGCCACCACACATGGTGAAAAGGCTATTTCTAAACACAATTGATGGGGTTTTTTGGTTTTTGTTTTTTGCTACTACTCTACAGGAATACATGAGGTTGGATACCTCATAAAGATATAAGATCTGTTTGGTTCACAGTTTTGGAGGCTGAATATCCAAATATTATGTCACTGGCTCTTACAGGGGACCCTCTGACTACATCACCTAAGGAACATAGAATCATGCCTGGAGCACATATAAGAGGTACTGATCACATGGAGATATAGGAAGCCATAATCCTTCAATGGGACCAATTCACTCTTTCATTTAAAAAAAAAACACATGTTTTTTCATGTAATATGAGGTATAGAACACAGGGCTTTTAACTTTTCTAGTCAAGTCCTCCACCACTGAGCTATATCTCTAGGCAAACAAATCCCTTTTGATGAAACTGAGCATCCCACAAGAACTACCTCAGTTTCTTCCAAGGGCAGCACCTCCAAAAACCTAGTCACCTCATCTCTGCTCTACCTCCTAAGGATCTCCCACCTCTGCCACACACCCCAGGTCCTCTATCACATCCCATGGCCTGTGTTGATACTCTGCACAGCCCAGATTCCACTCCTGTGGGTAATCTGAATAGTCAGGTGAATTGAAGAGAGTAAAATAATATTAAAACTCCCCCACAGTAAGGAGGAGAAATATCACAATGCAGGGAGTAGGACTCTGTACAGTGCTACTTCAGATGACTCAAAAATAGGAACAGAAAATGGAAAGATAAATGACATGCCTGAGATTAATATAATACTGATTGTAAGTACTATGAGTCTGGTAATTAATATTTTATCAATAATAGTCTTAGTGGATTTTTGTGTCAAACATGAAAAGTTGACTAATAAGATACAAGCCTTAGACTCATCAATGAAAAAAGAAAAATACTCAGACACAGGCAGAGGAATGAGAAAAGAATGCAGTAGGGCAGCCCAAGGTTGTTTGAAAACCAACTTTTATGTATTCACATACTGTACAAGAACTACCAGCAAACAACAGGTAGCCCAAGGTTATGGAGAAGTTAAGTGTTATCCTTTACGAATATTAGATTTGAGGAGATTAAAGGAAATGTTCATTTCATATAGTGTTCATTCACCCAATGTGAACCAGATGTTAAACCATGGGCAACTCAGAACAGAATCATCCCCAAGACTAGAAAGATCTGGTCAAAGCAATATTGGAAGCTGGCCCTCAATTACAGAGGATAACATGGTAGGAAGAGGAATCTAGGGCCATAGAACAATGAAATAGGGTGAGAAGTATCGATATTTCCCAAGACCAGTATTAGGTGAGGGTCAATAGGCTGATTACAAAGGCAGAGTGATTTTAACAATCATACCTTGGCCCTGTGTCATTTAGCAGCTCTGAATGCTTGGGACAAGGCTGAAGAATCAGGAAAGAGGTCTGGGTCATTTACTAAAATTGTACAAAGCGCAAAAGAAGCCTTCACTGACTTTTTGCAAAAATTGACTTCAGCTGTAAATAGAACAAACTGTATCAAATCCAGAATCCAGGCAAATATTGATTCAACCCTTGGCTCTTGAAAGTGCTGATTCTGAATGAAAAAGGATGATTGTGCCTTTAAAGGCACGATCAGCACCAATAGATGAATGGATTAGAGACATGGCTGATACTGGATCTGAAGCTTATGATGCTACTCTGATCAGAGAAACCATTTCTAAACATTTTAAGAAAAATGAAAATGTGAGATGCTTTAATTGTGGTGAGCCTTGGCCCCAACCCCCACTGGGAAAGGAAGAGTGACCATCTAAGCCACAGGCTACACCAATTGGAGGAAGAGAGACACTCTGAATCACAGACCCCACCTGCATCCACTGGAGGAAGAGATGGGTAGACGACAAGAACATATTCAACACCATAAAAAAGAATATGATACCACCAGTCACTAGGGGTTCTATTCCATCAAGACCTGAACATCCAAATACAGATGAAGCAGAGGAAAACAGCCTTAAGAATAACTTTATGAAGATGATAGAGGCCCTTAAAGAGGAAATGACAAACCCCCTTAAAGATATGGAGGAAAAGACAAACGAAAAAAAAAAAAAAAAGGAAGACATGGATGAAAATGGAAGAAATCAACAAATCCCTTAAAGAGGGAGGTAACACATGCAAACGCATCATCTATGATCTGGAAGTGGTCTCCTAACTACCATAGCAAAGGAGAGAAAAGCATACTTTGAGAGGTCAGCACCTGTTGTGAACATACCTGGTTTCTCATGGGGAGCTGATAATGCTAGTGACTTGCCTAAATTCATGGCTGAAGGCAATACCAACGGGAAGTTAATTCATACAAATAGGATGTAAGTTTCCAAGTTCTCAGATCCTTCGACTGCACATACTGAAGGACACGCTTCAAATCCATGAATAGACTATTGAGGTTTTTCTCATAGAGAATTTATTGTGAAACCTTTTACAGGAAAGATTTGGGCCTTCATACAAAGTCTTCAAGCCTCTTAAAACTGTAACATACTTTGAGGGAAAAAACTATTATTTGGGGGAGGGTGTTTTGGTGTTTTGTGTTTGTTTGGAGACAGTCTTGCTATGTAGCCTAGGTTGGCCTCAAACTCAAAATCTTCGTCTTGCAGGGTTAGAATTACAGCATCACATGTCAACCGCCATCTTGACTCCTCTAGTACAGGCGATGGGCAAGTCACGCAGTTGGGCCCGTGGGTACAATCTGTTAGGTCCAGGCTCCTGCACACAGCCCACATAACTCGGCCATTTCTCATTCTAAGCTAAAGCTCAGAAGCCACTGATCTCAAGATCTTATGCTTTTAAAAACCTGGTAATTGAAACTTCCTTAACTGTATTCTGGAAAGGACACGAAGAACCTCGAATAAGCCATAATCAAATCCCAGAAGGATTCACCAAAATGTGACCATGTGGAACCAGTACTATCGACAAGCATACTTTAGTGTTTATTATTTTTAGGAAATGTGGTGATCAAGTCATGGGCCGCAGTTTCTGCCATCTCCCTGTAGCGGTACTTCAAGTTAAAATTTCAAAGGACTCATCACTCCATCTACTTAGCGCTGGATTTCACCTAAAGCTTTGTCAGCGAGCTTATTTCTCACCCTCTCACATCTTTATGCACAGAAGTGGCCCATGTACACAAATAATCCATGGTCTTCACAGAACGGTAAACTCAAAAACCTAGACTCTCCAGCAGCAGTCTCCCTAGAGAAATGTGGGCTTCTGAAGTTAATAATACCTAGACACTGTATTCTCTAGTATCTGCCAAATACCAATATTTCCTGAAAGAATTTCTAACTCAAAAGCTTGGCTTCCACGAAGTCCTATGAAAACACATCCTATCAAAACTATTACAAATTGTTTTAATGCCATTAGATTTGCTAAAAATTACTGTGTTAATAAGACCTTAAAATCAAACTGACTTTCAGAATTACACATCAAAAAGCAGTACACAATGAAAGCTGTTTCATAAGCTTCATTCTCTCAAGCTGCAGTTTGCAGTCATGAACCCACACTGGTTCCTTGTTCCTTTTTCATTTTGATCTTCTTTTGTAACGGATTACTGGGTTTTCAGGGGTGTGAATCATAGTCGTATAATTCACACTGGGAAAATATCCATTGATGAGGTCAAATTCATATAAACGAAGCATAGTAGACCAAATTGTCTTAATTTGAACATAGGCGAAATTTTCTCCAATACAGCGATGACGTCCTGTTTAAAGAAAAACAAAGTTTTCATTAGAATAAGTTTCAGCCTGGAGTGACATTTGTTTTAGATGAGCAGGAGATGTGTAACAGAGTAATAGAAGGATGACAACTTGTACATAAAATGAGACTGTAAATCATGTTACAGCTCAGGTATTTCTAGTGTTAGAAGAGAATAGTGATTATGATGACATTTTTGAAATTTAGTATTATTGGGGTTGAACATGAAGAAGGTTCAAATCATGAGATGGTAACTGAGCTTGCATATGTGTAGAATTGATAAAACGTAATAAAATAAATAAATAAAAGTCCCCAACTAAGTGAGGGCGTTATGTGATCAGAAGCTCAGACCCACGAGCAGCTGCAACAGCATTGGCAGCTACTCCCTTAGCCCACAATCATAGGATGTGCTCTAGCCGTGGAATCCCAGAGCTCCGATGTGCCAATTAATTCTACCTAACCAAAGGCAGTTATTGTCTTTTCAAGGCCCTTTGTCTTATGATAACTTTGTATAAAAAACTTGCTGTGCTAAGTAATCTCCGCAACTATGGGAATCCTACTGAGACTTGCAGCCTCAGGACTACTACTCCCTTCTTCTCAAGGCCCTCGTCTCAAGATAACCTTTGGCATGCTAAGTAATCTCTTGGAAACTGAAACGCAGGATTCCCCCTCCCTTTTTCCCTTTTTGGCTGGAGGACATCTCGTCTCATCTCCCCACCATTGAGATCTGAGCTGGCAGCTTGATTAAAGAAACTTTGCTTTTGCATCCAAAGTGTCGACTCCTTGGGTTAGTCTCTGGGATTCCACAAACCAGGCACAACAGAATATCGGTCCCAAGAGAGTTCTAATGTTAAATCAGAGGGAACCTGTCAGCCAACACTCCAAATGTCCACTATAATGATATTAGAAGGGGATTTAATACACCCAAAATAACATCTATACTGAAACCAAAATCTACAAATGCAGAAGCTGAGAAATTATAAAATGCACAGGGAAACAAGTCCAGAGCAACCTAAACCATGGACTGTTGGGGAAGTCCTGTTATTTGCCTGTTATTTGTCAATAAAGCACTGTCTGGCCTATAGGGAATCTAGATAGGAGGGACTAGGAGTCCAGGAGAACGCTGGGAAGGAGAAACACAAGGGATTCAAGATGTAACTGCCATGGGGTAGGAAGCCCGGAACATCTCCGGTAAGAGAAATACATAGATTAACAATTATGGGGTAAATACTTAAGTCAGAGCTAGCCAGTAAGAAACAAGCAAGGCCAACAGCTTCATAATTAATATAGCCTCCTGTGTGCTTATTTGGGGACTACAACGTGGCAGAGCCCAGGTGACTAGCAGGTGATAAACCAAAGCTTTTCTTTACAATGGACTACACTGAAGAATTTGAATTGATTTCAATTTTGATCACATGACTAAAGGTCCAGGGACTAGCACCTTGGCTACTAGATGAGGATGAAGGAATAGATCACAGGGATAGACCCCCGAGCCCAGAAATTATCTGATGCCTCTCTGCTTCTCAGCAAATGCTCTGAGAGCAAGTCAAGAAAATGCTGCCATAACAAGACACTAAAATGTGGATGTCAGGAGGCTAAGAATCACCAAGTTCAGCCCTTTCTCACATCAAAATGACTCAAGTCAATCCTAGATCATCAACACTAAAGTCATTAAGGTTTAGTAAAGAAATCACATTCCCGACATGAGGCTGGGCAAAGACAATGGCCATGAATGTTTTCAGTTGAGCATTTTGGCTGGGCCCAGGGCTGCGGTACATGCTTTTAACCCCAGCCCTCAAGAAGCAGAGTCAGGCCATTCTCCATGAATTAGGCGTCAACCTGACCTGCAGATTCAGGTCCAGGCCATGGAAGGATACATAGTAACACACTGTCTCAAAAAAAAAAAAAAAAGTAAGGAAAAGAAAAAAAAATTGGGATAATTTTGTAGTAAACATTTTTTGCTAAAGAAAAAACAAAATTGAACATGGCTTATCACCATGCTTGCATAGCCCATTAACCATTTATTTGCGGGAGCCACATTTAAGGGAGCCACTTACATTGGTTCATAATTAAGAGAAGTCTGGCTTAAAGTAAAACGTTAAAGAACAGATAACAGTCACAAAGAAGTTTCCTAACTGAATCAACAAAAGTGAAAAACGCTGATTCTTAGAATATGTTACGTAAAACATATTCATAGACAAATAACAAGGAAAGACAGAGCAGTGACTGGAGAGAGATGCAGCCACAAGCCAAGGATTGCCAGTAATTTCTACACAGGGAAGAGGCAAGAATGCGTCAAAACCTTCAGAAAGCGTATGGCCCTGCCAACACCTTCATTTCAGAGACTCCACAACTGCAAGGTGACAATCTTATGTTAGCTGTAGAAACTCTAAAATACTAACATGAAGAAAAGCCAAGACTGGATAGGACCGTCTGTCGACAGGACATTAAAAGAATTGATAATGAAAGCTGTCCAGAAATGGATTCCGTTGCTACATAAGGTACAGGAGCGGTCCCGGACACGAAAGCAGTGGACACAGACACCAGCTTAGTGAGGCCTCCTCTCTCATTACAGAAGCTGAACTGCTGAGCTAATGGCCCATTCAATTGCTAATCTACAATCCTTTATATCTTATGTTAAATGTATTAGATAATGATGTGAAACTCAAGGTCTTCATATATGGGTCAGAGATCAAATGAGCCTTATACAAAGATTTACACTTTTTTTTTTTTTTTTTTGGTTTTACGAGACAGGGTTTCTCTGTTTTGGAGGCTGTCGGTCCAGCCTGGCCTCGAACTCACAGAGATCCGCCTGCCTCTGCCTCCCGAGTGCTGGGATTAAAGGCGTGCGCCACCAACGCCCGGCTCAAAGATTTACTCTTAGATTTATGAAATATTCCATTTTACAAAGATTCTGTTCCCCAAAATGTGCAGTCCTGTTCCCCTGGAGGAGAAAGATCAGTCTCTCCTTCCCCCTATCTCTCTCTCTTTTCTCTGGTACACTTGCACACACAGTCCCTCACTCTCTCCTCTCTCTTTCTACCCTGCCTCTCTCATTCTCTGGTAAGTGAATTTCAGGATGGTTTATTGAAGAAGGACAGATATGTTACTGGAGCAGACACTTCAATCTAAAATGCAATCAGTCATCTTACCAGCTCCAAATGGCACATAGGCAAACTTCTCTCCTGATGCTGGGTTATCCTGTAAGTAGCGATCAGGATTAAAGTCCAAACGTTCTATCCAGGAGTCTTTCAGTCTTTGATTGACAGTAGGAGAAACACACACCTGATGTCCTGGAGGAATAGTATACCCTGCCACAGTCTATACAGTGAGAAAGAACACATTTCTTTAGAGAATGTTTCACCATGGTACCAAACAAGGCATTAATCAATGCTGATGTGAACTATACTTATGTTTAAAAAACTGTCTAGGTGATAAACCACATCAATTATCTTAAAGTGATTCACAAGTGGCCCAGTACTTAAACAGAAATATATTTACAAACCAAGATCAAGACACAGTAGCTTCAAAACCCTTACCTAGCCAACGTAATTCACACCTACATTTTTTACAAAATACCATATTATGTTTAATGCTAACAAAAAAATGGGCCTCTAATGTTTAAAAATTGCAAGTGTTGAAATGAATAACAGAATTAGAGTTGCATATTTACTACCTGTAAGTGTATGTAATAATTTTCATATGTTTACAATAATGAGAGTTTTTACTTTTATAACTTAAAATATTCTCTCTGAAACTGGGCCCTAGGCAGGAAAATCTAGTCAAGACTTACCTGAGGGGTCCTGGCCATTCTCATCATGGTCATTATAGGAGGTCTCAGTCTTAATGTTTCTTTTATGCATCGATCAAGTAAATTCAGATCCTTCAGCTTAAAAAAAAAAAGACCAAGGATCATTTCTGGTTTCCCCCACAAATATCCACCATACCTCCACAGCAGGAGGAAATTATTTTAATATCCTAGTTAGTGTGAGGGAAAAAAGGGAGGAGGTAAATGGTTCATGATGGCTGGGATGGTCACTCATGGTTTTAACATTCACTCAGTAGGAAAAGGGGGGCAAGATATCAGGAAGGGGGACAATTGTATTGGTTAGTGACCAATAAAATTCACTGTTTGAAAAACTGAGATTATCTAAAAGCAGTGTTTTTTTCAGACAAATTAGACCTATAACAATCTACCATAGGTCCCTTAACGAGGGAGGAGGAGGGGAAATATGCTATATCTTGATGAGAAATGCAAGCATTGGCATGTAACTTACACTACTGCACATCAATGAGAGCCTTGGAAAGCAAAGTGACAGCTATACGTCTCACTATTCCAGTAAGGCCAGACCAAATATGCCAAGAATAACCAGGTATAATGGCACCTCCCTCCCACATCCAGAAACTGAGGCAGCCTGGGCTAGGTTGAGAACTTGTATCAAAAAAAAAACAACAACAAAAAAGAACCATCCAGCAGACATTATTTAACACTGTAAGTACCTGAGGTAGTGATACACTTAAGAGAGAAAGCAAGATGCTTAAAAAGACCACACCTAGAAAATGAAAATCAGACTGCAAAGTTCTAACCGGAAGCAACATGCATTGTGCATGAGAGCCACAACATGCAGCACATGACGTTCGTGACTGAAAACACACAGCAAACGAAGCCTAAGGCAGAGTTGAAATCACCTGAAGGACTTCTGATAACATGCCCTGAACATGCAGACTCCTCAGCAAAAGCTAAGAGTCCACGACAGTAAAAAATCTCTAATCCAAATGCCCAGGAACGGCAACATCATAAATCCCAGGGGCAGGCAGATCTCTGGGAGTTCAAAGCCAGTCTGGTCTACACGAAGAGTTCCAGGTCAGCCAGAAAGACTTAATAAAGTGATGTCTCAATAAACAAGATTTAAGAAGTCTCTAATCATTTCTGGCCACAGAAATAAATAGCAGAGTTCACTGAATACAGATGAATACGGACGTCATATAATCCTGTTTCTCTGTTTAGGAAAGTCAGTAAACACACAAAGCAGCACATTTACAAACATTGGAGAAGTAGCAAACCTCAGGAGGAGGGGTCTCATTTCCAGAGTTGCTACTGGTTTCCAATGTAGTGAGTTCAACAAAAACACTAGAAACTTTACCAAAAAAGGAAAATAAGAACACCAGCTCATACATCCCAACCACACGAGGAAGATTAACGGGAACTATCCCTGAAATGGATCTTTTTAAACTAAAGTGACTAGCCTCTTACAGAGCATTCAAATTTAGTAATGAAGGAAGAGGACAGAAATCATCAATGGCACAGCAGTCAAAAGACACCTGGAAGGACACAGGACATGTCCACTTTCCTCGCTGGCCACCTGTCTGTCGACCCTTCCTCTCCCTCCTACCACCTCAGCAGATACCAAGTGACCTCAGGGGCCAGACCGGCCCATCTAGGTTTATACAGCTGCCTTCCTGGGACCTACAGGAAATGGGTGGCCATAACCACAATCTCCAATAAGGAAAGACACTGAGCTTACTAGATAAACTTAAACCACTGTTAATAAAGACCTTAGAAGAACAAAAAGGAAATTAGGCTTACAGAAGTAAAGTATGAAACAATACAACAATGGCTCACCAAATAGAGAATAATACATTATTTTAACAATATAGAATTCAGGAACTGAAAGATGTAAATAAGATTTTCACTAGAGTAGATCAATAGCAGATTGGAAGTGGCATGAGAACAAACATTAAAAAGAATACTTAAGGGCTGGCAAGATGGCTCAGCAGGAAAAGACATTTACTGCCAAGCCTGACAAAGTGAGTTAAATCCCTGGAATCCACACAGTGGAGAGAACCAGCCCCTCTGTGCTGTTCTTGGACCACTACCTGTTTATCATGGCACATATATGCACATACGATACAGAATAAAACACAAAGCATTACATAACTCACTTTAAAAAGGTGTAAACCTAGCTGGGCGGTGGTGGCGCACGCCTTTAATCCCAGCACTCCGGAGGCAGAGACAGGCGGATCTCTGTGAGTTCGAGGCCAGGCTGGACCGACAGCCTCCAAAACAATACAGAGAAACCCTGTCTCGTAAAACCAAATAAAAAAGGTGTAAACCTTGTGACTGAAAAGTAAAAAAAAAAAAAATGTTGGAAGAAATTAAAAGACCAAAATGATAGAAAAGCTATGTCATGATGCCATGTTCATTGGGGTATGTCTAAAAACAGATAGTGTAAGGATGGCAATACTCCCCACATAACATATACAGTGCAATTAATCTCAAGTCTGCACAAATTGCTAAGTTGACTCTAAATTCCTTCTAAAAAATCAAAGGAACTAGGAATATCTATAACAGCTGAAAAGATGAGAGTCACAAAAGTAAACATATAGCTAACACAAGAGCTAGACACCCAGTTGATAGAGTGGAATTCAGGGTTCAGAAATAAAGCCTTACATTTAATGGCCAATAGATTTTTGACAAGACCATTCAGGGTGAAATCAGTCTTTCCAACAAACAGTGCTGAGACAAATGGATTTCCACATACAAGGCAGGTATAGTGGTCCCTCATCTCACATTATATTCAAATTGAATTCAAAGACCCTAAAGTAGGAGGAGAGTAAGGAAAGCAACGGGGTAAGGAGGTCTTCACACCTTTTGAAAACACACACACATGCTCAGCACAGTCAAAGCAGCCTATAATATAAAGGGGCAGGATCTGAACAGACATCTCCAAAGAAAGCATCACAAACTACTCATCTTAGGCATCAGGGAAATGAATGGCACTCAGCTCAAAAGATCCCTTCACATACATTAGAGCCAGGACAGGTGCCAAGCACATGTGAGCATCAGAGCGCGTGTCAATGTTATTGATGAGGTTAAGAGTGGAGCAAATGCTTGGAAAACATTATAGCAGCTCAATACATCAAACACGTAGCTGCTATGACCTAGCAAGCCACTCTAAGTATGTACCTCACAGACAGGAGGTAACCCAAATGTCTAAATAATAGACCAATGAATAAGTAATGTGCAGCATGTGCATGTGAAGAATTATTATTCCAGACAATAATTGGATGAAGCTTAATCCACTGTTGCCTTTGGAAGTCATTAATTATGTCCCCCAGCCACTAGCACTCAGCAAGCCAATGCAGACATTTTGTGAGTTTGAGGACAGCCTGGTCTACATTGCAATTTTTTTTTTTACATTGCAAGTTTTATGCCAGCCAAGAGCCACACAGTGAAACTCTTCCCCCCACAAAAAAAGTGTTCCCTAAAGATTCACATGGTGATGGCAAGTAGTCTAGCATTTTTAAGAACCTAATAATGGGTGTTCATTTAAAGACACGACACTCTGAAGGGTTTAAGGCTAATTGGTGAAGGAGGAAGTTAATTCTTAAGAAGTACTTGGCATATTATCAGTCAAAGATGCCACAATAAAACTATAATATATATCCTCTGTTATATTCTTTATTATATGTTTAGAAATGTTTGTATATGATTATTCTAAGCAAACAAAATTAAGAAGCACACACACACACACACACACAGACATGGATTTATCCCATGAATGTAAGAATATCTGAATGTAACATACCATTTTAATAAAGTATCAAAATAAAATATGACAGGAAAATGATAAGACCAGGGTGAGCTTCAGAAATAGCTGCCCAGCTATACAGTGAGTACACCTCAGCTTTCACGCCCAGTGAGCTGGGTGGAGTGCCTTTATCAATTTCTAGTCCCTATTACTGATATTACCATTTGAGGCCATTTCTGCCCTAACATAGCCCATAGAATTCCAAGTAATCCAAGGCTCCTACACTCCATAAAAAACACAACATTCCTGTAATACACTCCATGTGCAGAGGTCAGGCTTAGCCAAGCACCAAAGAAACAAAACAGAGGCAAAGAGCTCTAAAACCTCGGTACAAAACCCACCGGAGAGGCTTCGAGAAGCAATAGCTCAGCTCTATCTTTTACCTAAGGTTGGAGAAAGGTTTCTCCAAGTCTACCAGTTGAAGCTCTAGTGAACAGAAAGCCTCAAACAGTGCACAAACCTGCTCATAAGTTAAGGGAGGCAGGTCCTCGCCACACACTGCCTTCTGTTCTAAGTAGCACTTTTCTTGAAGTGGTTTATCTCTGGCCAGGAAGAAGCCCATCCAGGCACTGGTGGTGGAGGAGGTGTGCTGCCCGGCGAGCAGCAGGCCGATGAGCATCCCTGCTATTTCGTCATCTGTTAGAGGGTTCCCGTCCCTGGGAATGAATCACACACTTAGCACTTGGCAGACAGGATTAACAGTCTCCAGACACAATCGACCCTTTTCTTAACTTACTACCAATCAGGGTCCCCGGCTCCCCTCCCAGTAGAGACAAACCAGGAGAAAGCATGATGTGGATTACAAAAGACTTCCTGCCGGTTGATTTGCAGATGTTACCCATGCCAGCTGTCGGTGTCACAGTAAGGCACTAGGGCCCAGTGCTTAACGTCTCAACAATTTACAAGTACCAATTTATTGTTCCAATGGCTATCAGTAATCAACACTCTCATGCATAATTTCTTGCTTCAGTTTAATGTGTGATCTGATGCTCCTTACTTGTATGTGGAATCTAGTAACGTTTGGAGAATGTCATCAACTTTTTCTTCTGACTGCCTGCGTTTCTTGATGGCCTTATAGAAAATATTCTTGATTTCCCGATGGGCTCTGTCCCTGCGTCTACAATTTAAAACCAGAGTATTTTTAATACAGTAACATTTAATAGGCTCACATTCAAAATCAATACCAATAATAAAACAACATTAACTTTACTGAGGGAAGGAAGTGACACAAATTCAGAACCAGAAAAGAAAGGAGTCATGAACTCACATTGCTAGGAATCTCAACAGTCCTTAGGGCAAGGATAGTCATACACAGCTCATACTGCTAACACACTACCTACATAAATAAGCATGACATGCCCTCACAAGTATGTCCCAGTTCAACATAAAACATGCTAAATTAACAAAAGATTCTAATTTTGTCCAAATCAGTCTTCAAAGGTACCAAGTCACACTGGCTTTCATAGGATTTTATTCTACTTCTCACTTTCTATAACTGCATAGTTTGTGTAGGGAGAAAATCCTTGTAGGTTTAAAACACAAGCTCCAGCTCCCAGAGTGTTCATTGCATAAGAAGAACTGTGAAGCTCAGGATTTTGCCTCCAATCCATAGGAACTCCATACAACAGACATAGCTAGACTCTAAAACCAAGCAACCTTGAAGCTGAGATGACGGCTCGGTAGTTCAGAGCTCTTACAGTGATTGGGAGTTGAATTCCAAGAACCCACCTCTGACAGCTCAAACAGCCTGTAGCTCCAGCTCCAAAAGTAATCCTGAAGCTGGAGTGGCAAGCTGTCTGAGCTGCCTGATAATGCCTTTAGTCTCTGTGAACACCGGCATTTGTGTGTGTGCGTGCGTGCGTGCGTGCGTGCGTGCGTGCGTGTGTGTGTGTGCACATGCCTGCATGCGTGCACATACATACACACACAGACAGACAAAGAGACAGAGAGAGGCCAGAGACTAAACAATAAAATCTTTATTTTAAAAGAGCAATTCTGATGCCTAAAAGCCCATCAGTGCTCTAACAAAAACTGCCTTATTTCACTTAACGGGCTACTGCTGAAGACAATTGAGATAATGCAAACCTCACAGTGTGAGTGGAAGAGAGGGAGGAGAGTGTCAGGAATTGTTTAAGGGAGTGAATAGTGGGGGGTGTGACTTACTGATAGAGTGTGTGTTTAGTATGCCCAAGGCCCCAGTAGCAAAAAGACGAAAAGTACATTTCACTAAATCAGTTGGCTTGGGAAAGACAGGGAAAGCTCAAGCTATAACATGAAGCTCCAGAATTCTGGCATGAACCATGGGATGGAGGAGTTAGAAATAAAATGATGAGCCGGGCGTTGGTGGCACACGCCTTTAATCCCAGCACTCGGGAGGCAGAGGCAGGCGGATCTCTGTGAGTTCGAGGCTAGGCTGGACCGACAGCCTCCAAAATAATACAGAGAAACCCTGTCTCGTAAAAAAAAAAAAAAAAAAAAAAAAAGAAATAAAATGATGTTCATGTATGACAAACTGAGTGAGGAGCAGTGCAGGGTACGCCAGCACAAGATATAGAAAAGCATTGTTCTCGGGGTTGTTTTTAGCTGCAAAGCCCCTTATATGTGTTGACTTCTGGGGATCCTTTCTAGGTTTTTCCTTTCAGTGTCAGAGCCTTTATTTGGCAGCTAAGCAGACAGGATAGACATCAAAGAAACAAAGCTAATAGTTTAACCCCCATCTCACATAAACAGGCATGACCCAGCAAGGGAGGGAAAACAGACATTATCAGGGCCTGAGCTCCACACCAAGCCCTAAAGGTTCTTAAAGAAACTAAAGAACATTTGGTAAGGAGACAAACAAAATCCAATAAAAGCACAAACATCCAAGAGAAAGGTCACAAGAGAAGGACTAGAAAAGCATCAAAGACTTTTAAAAAGGGTTTTAAAAGGCTGCAGCTCTAAGTACAGATCAGAAACGTCGTGGAGTACAAAGACTATAGTAGGTAAGCCAAATATTACCATAGACAACAAACTACCTTCTCAATAAAATAAAGCTTACTTCGAACAAGCTCACAATATGAACTGTTCTGAGTGCTAATAAAACAGAGGCTCCTCACTCGTCCAAATCAGAAAACACAAATAGTACAGTAACTGTGGAAAGTCATCCAAGTGCAAAGTGGTCCTTATCCATACCTGAAGCTAGGCAGAGGCAGCCAACCTGGCAACAGCCAGGCAGCATGGCTAAAACCTCCATCCAAATCTGCATACAGCTGGGCCACCTTCTCATTGAGTTGACTTCTAATTTCCTTTCCATGTAAACAATGGCTAGCTGTTAAAATTATGAGCTCAGAAAGCGCCTCAAACACATCTACGGGGAAGAAAAGATCATTTTCATTACAATTTCCAAAAAGCTTTCAGAGTATGTTCTTGAACATATATAGAAATTGTGAAGAAAAATTGGGAATATACATATATATTTTTTAAACTCAAAGGCAAGCAGAATCCTATTCATACCTCCAAAAGTCTCCAGACATCTATGCAGAACCCTGGAGGCAATAGTGCCAATCACTGGCCACACTGCCCCTCTGGCCAGCCAAAACTTATGCCACAGAACACCTCTACACCTTATTTCTAAATTCTTCATCTTGAAGTGACATGATGACTATTAAAAACAGATGCAGTAATCTGATTTCCAGGTCACTGCACAAAAGCTGTGAGTAACATAAAGGTTGTTCAACGCATATGAGAAGAACAATGAGGACATTCCCTAGAAACGGCAGTCCCGAAACCAAAGGGTAAGGTGACAATAAGGAGGCTCTAAGTACCAACAACTATAATCACCATTATGCAACCCCACACTGGACACAAGCACCAGGTGAGCCCATTGGATGGCACTTGAAAGGTACAAGGATCATCTAACTCTCTTGTCTAACTCTACACCTATCAAATGAACTTCCAGTTAACATCAGGCTTTGCAATTAGATTTTCCAAAAAGGAGATCAGAAAACATGCTGGGCCCTTGGTGCTCTAATGACAGGCCTCTCGTGCTTTTATTTTCAGAGTTTGTGTGTTTTAGACTTTTGAGTTTTGACATGGGTTGTGCTATGCAGCTCAGGCTGCCTTCAAACTCCTAATCCTTCTACCTCCGCTTCCCAAGTACTAGGATTCTGGGCATGTATCACACTTATTTGTCATAAGTGAGATCATGCCTGTAACCTAGCATTCAGGAGGCAGAGGCAGGACAACCCCAAGTTTGAAGTCCACCTAGACTACACAGAAAGGCCTTTCACAAATAAATAAACAAAAGCATTCTAGTGTACACAACACGACCTTCTGTGACTAGAAAACGTATCACACGAGCTTCTGGTGTAGTAAAAATAAATTTCCTACACCTTTTAGAGGAGCTGATGGCCAACATCAATCAGAAGGTGGTGGCCTGCTGCCTAGGGTCTCACTGGCCTATAAGCAGTCATTGCTCCTGGCATAGATGCTCCAACTGGCTGTCTAAAGACAATACCTAGACATACACTATAGGTTGTGTTTGGCATTACAATTCCCATTGGATACACCATAGTTCTACACATATTGTACTTTGTTCTGTATATGCACACAAACAGAAAATAGGACAAATATAGTGATTTTTGCTTACTCCTTTCTCCACTTTCTCCCCAACTCTGAAAGTATTCCATTGTTTCTTTTTCAATGATAGAAACATACTGCTTAAAGTGGGCTATGTTAAGGCCACTTTTTAACATTTTCTTCTGTTCCAAAAACACCTTCAAAAAAAAAAAAGAATTAAGGTAGACAACATTGAAATACATTTTGTATTTTACTCTATGACACAGCAGGTTATTCTAACTACATAACAAAGAAGACGTTCTTAAATTTGAAAAGAAAAACATTAACAGTATTAAGATCATCCGTGCCATATACAGATATACCATATTTTTCTCAGGGGGCGTCCTCTCCCTGGGTCCTAGAAGATGATGTCAGGATCCCATCTCTCTCCTTCTAATATCCCACCACTCTTTGCTCAGGGGCCCACTCTCCTATCCTGGTTACCTTCTAACCTTCCAACCCAATCCGGTCAACACTCTCCCAAAAGTCCATTATTCTTCCCTATTATTTTATCCTCCTGCATTCATGTTCTCATTATAAGTTTAAAATAATAGAGAGAGAAATCTGGGCAAAAGTTTTTGAAAGAATAATGGGTAACATTATTCTCCCCAGCACTCCCATCCTCCCAGCCCCAGGAGCAGTAATATTGACTCTTAACTGCCATACTCAAGTGGGCTAGTCCAGTACGGCTCTAGCCAAGGTTCCACAGGCACCTCAGTCTGTTGAATTATGTTCTCATAACACTTCAGTATGCTCATCTGGGAGCAGGTAAGCATATAATAAAAATATCCCATACCCAAAGTAGACACATGAAAAGAGATTTGCTTTTAAAGACCAGGTCTCACACTATAGTCCATGTTGGGCTTGAGCTCAAAAGTCTCCTGCATCAACCTCCCAAAGGCTGGGATCACAGATATGAGCCACCAATGCTGGTTGAGTTCTAAAGTCAACAATTTCCAACTAAAAGCTCTTGGGCTACAACACCAAGCCATAGTAAGAAGTCCTTTTGATGAAATAGTGATATTTGCTTGTTTCTCTCTCAAGTCAAATCTCAGCATGCTAAATCACTATCGATTCCATTTCTTTGCATACAAAAACGATTTAAAATTTTGTTGAGCCTTGCCAACAAATAGAAAACAAAACACCCATTCCTTATACAGCTCTCCAGGGTTTCTTTTGAAATATCACAAAACTTCAGATTTCTTTTGTTTTTTCTTTTCTTTTCTTTTTTTCCCAGAGACAGGGTATCTCTGTATATCCCTGGCTGCCCTGAATCTCACTCTGTAGACACAGAGATCTGCCTGGGTCTGACTCCCCAATGCTGAGATTAAAGGCATGTGTGACCACCGCCCAGCCAAATTTCAGATTTCTTAAGCCAAGGAATAAATTAGTCCTGTATTACAAATGTGTAATATTACACAACTACTGTACTATAGTTTAATCTGTCTTTTATGCAGGATAGACGTGTCACCTACTGCATTTGGCACATCATATGCAACTCCCTTCCCAAATACGGGTGTTGTCAGTCGACTGTAGACATCCTCTGCATTCAGATCTTCATTTTTGCTATTGAAAAGCAGTGCAGCTGCATCGCTCCCAAGAAGATAAGTAAACGTCTTGCCAACCATGGTAAAGCTAAACACGGGTCCATACTAAAAGAGAGAAATGATGTTACAAAAGCATTCCTTACATCCAAGAATAATAAAAAAGTTACAAATACTCATAAACCTTTAAGCAACTGTTTCGTCTGATCATACTACACCTCCTGCCTTCATCACAAAAGCAATATAAATATATTAACTCTTTCTCACAGTTTACCCTGAAAATAGTTTCTACCATGCAAAACACCAGGCCTCTAATGCATTTTATCATTGGATGCCACAGTGTTAGCTCAGCTAGTTCCTCTTCTTTATTGGATACAGAAGTAATATACAAGTTGTTTTTAATTATTGTTTTATGCTGGCTATATAGAATTCTTTAATCAACATTTATAATACACTGTTTCCCCCTTTGTTAAAAACTAATTTTGGGTGGCTGATGAGAAGGCCCCTGGGTAAAATCACTTGCCATCAAGCCCAATGACCTGAGTTTGACCTCCATTACCCACGAAACAATGAAGTCAATGAATCATTACAGGGAAAGGACTTGCACAAATAAATCAGGAAAAGTGTGCTATAAGAACAGAGTAAACGGGACTGGGGAGTTGGCTCTGTCTACTGCTCTTGCAGAGGATCTGAGTTCAATTCCCAGCACCCACATTGGGCAACTCACAACTGTAGCTGTAGCTCTAAGGGACCTAATGACCGCTCCTGGCCTTGGCAAACAAATGCATTTAGGTACACATACTAAGAGACACAAAGGCAGCCGGGCGTTGGTGGCGCACGTCTTTAATCCCAGCACTCGAGAGGCAGAGGCAGGCGGATCTCTGTGAGTTCGAGACCAGCCTGGACTACCAAGCGAGTTCCAGGACAGCCTCCAAAGCCAAAGAGAAACCCTGTCTCGAAAAACCAAAAAAAAAAAAGAGACACAAAGGCTACATAGAATCAAAACTAAATCTTAAAAGTATTGAGAATACACTTTGGATACAGGAGGGGCACACAAGCCCCAACCTCTAGCTGAGGAGCCACTGACAACTCATGGCTGCTTGGGGATGGAGAATCACTTTTTTTAAGGGCGTGGCCCCAAGTAGCTTGCCCATGCTCTAATGGATGGACCCATACCCATGACTTATAGGGTTAACTGGACATGAAATTAAGAGGGAGCCATGGGGGGAAGATCCAGGAGGAACTGGAAAAGGGGAATGGGAGGAAATGCGAGTGAAATACATTGTATACATTTATGAAATTCTCAAAGATTATTTTAAATTACATTAAAGTAAAGGACAGAGTCCATTTAAATAACTAATGCTGGAAAGTGAAAAAATTAACTAGAAGTCCAAAGCAGGACTTTGAAACAAACGTCTGATGTGATGCAAGAGCACTGTTTAAGAAGGAAAGAAACAAGGATTAGAATGTCCACATCCTCCAAGAGGAGAGGGAAATCTCACAGGATGGACAGAACAATGGATAAGAGACAGAAAATTCCAAAGATACATGATTAAGAGAAGAAAACTTTGACTATAATTAGTGAAAATACGATTTAGGACAACTTTTAAAACTTAATTGTTAGAATTACAGGTTTCCTTGCATCTCAGAGACTATCCCAGTACAAACACTGTAGGAAGCTAATCGAGTCAACAAGCCCTTTTTAATCTTGAACCAGAGATATTTTCAATAATGCCAATAAGCAGGGAGGGTACGATATTTTTTAATGTCTTTCTATTTAAAGAAAATCACTTTTCTAAACTAGTTTCTCCACCTCCAGTTATTTAAAAGACTTACCTTCTCATATGCGTTTTCCAGGAACTCAATTGGACTTTTCCCAAATGCTATTGCATGGCCAAGGAATGGAATTGGAGAGAAAATGTATGGCGGACTTTTCTGCAAAAGGAGAGAGAAAAATTTACTTTTCATTTTATTAAAAAGAGTTTCATTAGAGAGCCAACTTGAGATTACTTTCTTTCTTTCTTTCTTTCTTTCTTTTTTTTTTTTTTTGGTTTTTTGAGACAGGGTTTCTCTGTATTTCTCTGTATTGTTTTGTAGGCCGTCCTGGAACTCGCTCTGTAGACCAGGCTGGCCTCAAACTCACAGAGATCCACCTGCCTCTATCTCCAGAGTGCTGGGATTAAAGGGGTGCGCCACCAACGCCCGGCAGATAGTACTGTTTTTTAAAATAAGTATATTTACAGAAGTCAAAAAGAACTCAAAACAGAAATGACTAGGCAGAAGAGCACTGCAGTTTTAAATATTAGGAACTAACAAAAACTGCCCAATATTATTGAGGCTTCAGACAACTTTCCAGCCATTAGTGGAGCAACCAGAGAGAGCTGCTTGCAGTTCTATGGCTTCTGCAGTCTGCCAGCTCTCCCTTCAATCCAAGAGTCTTGCCTGACTTTCTCTGCAACAGAAAAAGCCAAATGGTAACCTGCAGAAAAGAAAACTTTCTCACATTTACAGGGAAAAGGAAGTTTGCCATGCTTCTCTGACTGCAGACAGCTACATCCATCAATATCAGAGAGAATGAACCTTCCCCAGCAGGACTCGGAAGCACTAGTCTCAGTGGGGCCACAAAATGAGATGCGCAGCTTGCAAGAAGCTCTGTGAAAAAACTGCAACGATGAAAAAGCATGCTGTTCCTCAAATCTCTGGTGGTCTCAACACACCAAAATCTCAGAGCACTTTAGAATGAGGTTCCTTTGTCTTTCCAGTGACAAACACAATCTCCTCAAGGTAGTGTAGAAGCTGGGTGTGTAGTGCACACTTGGAAACTTACCACCCAAGGGGTGAACGCTACAGGATATGCCAAGGTGAACCACGGCTACATGGTTCCACCGCCGTCCTGGGCTACAAGACGCCATAAAAAAAAAAAAAAAAAAGCTTTAAAAATCGCGTATCTCTTAAAAAGAAAAAGTAAACTGCCTAGTGCTTGCTTGAGTTCTAACAAAAATAATTTTTAAAGCAACTTGGTAGGCACCAAGTCTGGTTTTTACATTCCATTGTCAGTTTCAAAAGGGTGATTTCTGAAAATATGGGGGCACTCATCAAATACATTTGGGAGACTTGAAGCTAGTGATTTGCTGTAATGCTAGGCTAGACTATTTTAACAGTATCACAGGAAGGCCCTTACCACACTCTGCTCGGTCAGTTATGAACTGGCCGCAATCTCCCTAACACTGATATTAACCCTTATGTACAACAGTACACAGGATAGTAAACACACAAGACAGTATCCAGAGTGGAGGCCACCAGGGCCGCAGCGGCCCGTTACTCGCCATCAGGGACCTCACAAATAGCCTAGACACCTCGGAGGCAAGCAGCAAAGCCAGTGCAGAATCCTGCACAGCCAAGACCGCCCCACCAGCCACCTCCACCCAATAGGGCCGGCCACCAGTCTGAGCATCCATCGGGATGGCTGCAGACGCTAAAGGCACGGTCGCAGCCAGATAGATGGTCAAGGCCACCGCCACCGCACAAACTGCGACGTCTAGCACGGCCCCGGACCCGGATTCCAGCCAAGGGGCCAGCGAGACCACCGCCGACGGCGAAGATCAGCTCTGCAGGCATGGACGCCTGCAGCCCCGACCCGGCTCCCATTGCGCCCTCCACCGCGAGCGCCCCCGAGCCCGCACGGACCGAGAACCCCCGGGGTGCACGTACCGCCCCGGCGGGCAGCTGGACCACGTGGCCCACGGCGAGACGGAATAGGTAGACCAGGCTGAGCGTGAAGGCGCAGGCGATGAGAAGCGTGGAGAGCAGGTTGCCTCCTGTCACCTGCTCCATCGCCTGGCCCAGCACCCAGCCTCCCGACTGCAGCAAGCCCAGCAACACCATCCCGGCCGCCGCTTCGCTTCGCTCCGCTTCGCAAGCTGGAGGCCGAGGTCGCCGCCGCTTCTCGGAGAAGATGGAGCAGGAGAAGCCGGCAGGTGGACGTCGGGAGGCGGCCTCGGCCTCCGGGGCTCTACAGGCCCGGGGCACCTCCCACCGCCACCGCGCGCCACCCGCACGTCACAGACAGGGCGGGGCCTCCTGTGACCACGCCCCCGGCGGGTACCGGGATCCTTGCGCCACCAAGGAGTCTGTGGGCTTTGCCGATGGCACTGGGGCACAGGGGAGCGAGTGATCGCTGCAGACGCGACCACGCCCTGAGAGCCGTGAGCCAGGAGGAAGGGACCCTTGCGCCCCAGGAGCACGGCGCAGGGAGCCGGCACGGAGGGGAGGGGGGAGAGGACCTGGCGGAGGGATCTCGGACCGGCGTGGTGGCGGGCGGTGGCGGAGGAGAAGTGCTCTGTGATTGCACCACGCTCGCTGAGGTGATCTCGGCCTATGTGGCGTCAGCGGGACTGGCGGCCCGGGGCACCGCCCACTCTGTGGGACGCGGGCCGCTGCACCTCTCCCACGGAGGTGTCACTTTTCGGGCTTTGAGAGCTTGGTGCTTCATGAGCTCTGCCGGCAGGGATGCTGGAAAACCACTGTCCCGCGCTAGCAGACTGGAGGGTGATCCCATCGGGTCACCGGGACTGACCGGTTACAATCTGTTAGACAGGTTGTTCCTGTAGAGCTACATGGTTAAAAAGTGATAGTTATGTACTGTGCCGTTGTACCAAAACAAGGTACAGATGCCACTAGTAAACTGAGGCCAGAGGTCCCCAATGCTCCCATTCCGACAGTTTGCATGTTAGATTTGAAGCAGGAGTTACCCTGGCCAAACTCACTCTTGTGGCATCCAGTGAAGCATCTCTGAGAACATGCTTCCTTATTCAACCCTCTTTCCCGATCTTTGCCATGAGGTCCTAAACAGCTGCATTTGTCTATTGAACCAGGGTTAAGAGCTGGGGTTTGGCTAAGCGTGGAGATGACATTGCAGTGGATGAAACAAAATGAAAGGCAAGGACTCCGGGAGTGAGTAAGACTCCCCAGCTGCTTTCTAGATAATTCTGGCGAGGAGTAAGACTTCTACAATTAGCCAATTAAAACAAGCTTTATTTATTACTGACTAGCAAGATGGGCACTGGCCAGACACATACCCAAAATTCCCAGAAAATGGCTGAAAGCTATGTTGGCCAGGTTCCTAAAAAGACTAAACCCACAAAGCTATGGTACTTCCAGCCTTTGTCCAACTGAGGGCAAGCATACAACCTAACGCACTTCCTGTCTACACATCTCCCACCTACACGACCACGTGAGCAAGCATTTGGGGCAACCAAACTTGTTTACTGAAGTGAAAATACATAACTTACTATCTCACAAGAACAACACCCCCACACACACACACACACACACACGCGCGCGCAGGAAGTTATCTGTCCTTGAGCAACTAGGTCTTACAGGTTAACTTTAGCACTTATACCACAACCCAAAGAGACTCAACTCAGAACACCATAAATCTCTAATGTTGAAATCCTAAAATATCAAAATCTTTAAATATAGGTCAGAGGGAAAGTGACATAAAAATTATTCTGTTTAACATTTTTGAGATAAAGCCCTGGCAGTCCTAGAAAACTCTGTGTAGACCAGGATGACCCTATACTCACAGATATCCACCTGCATCTGCCTATGGAGTGCTAAGACTAAAGGTATACACCACCACAGCCCACCCAATTTTTAAAACTTATCTGTGAAGGAGGATTTGTTTGAAGAACATGAAAAAGTATGGCAATGCATCTTATGCCAGCTCACAGAACAAATAGTCAGTAATTACATGTTTTCAATCACTGATTACAGGTATACTCATGACAGCTCTACTAAGCAATGATTAGCCTTAGGTCAAACGGCGAACTATAGCATATAATCCCAAACAGAAGGCAAAGGCAGGTGGATCTCAGTGAGGTTGAGGCAGCCTGCTCTACTTAGTGAGTCCAAAGACAGCAAAGTCTACCTAGTGAGACTTATGCCATATACCCTGCCAAAAAGTGAATTACATAAATGCATATCACTATGATTGGTAATTATCTGTAACTGCAGTCTGAAACAACATGACAAACCAGGTTAATGAGACTAAACAAAAAATATGATTCACAAATTATCACTTGGTCCAGATGTCAAGGGCTATCTGTTTATGTACTGACAGGGTTTCAATACACACAAACACACACACACACACACACACACACACGCAACTTGTAAATGCACTTTTGCAAACTCAAATTTGGAAAGTTTTTTTTTAAATGTGTAAAACAAGTTAGGCCCACCTAAAGTCTAATACAACTTATATAACTAACATAGGATATAATATAAAGAAGTCATGGCAAGTTGTTAAAAAAAATGCTAATCACCAAAAGTAGAAAATCTGTTTGCCCTAAAGTTCTTTAACTATAATCTCGACAATAAGAATACTGCAACAAGAGGATTGCCAGGAGTTTGAGGTCAGCCTGATCTGCAAAGTGAGTCTAGACCAACCTGAATGAGAAAGTGATATCCTTGATCAAACAGATAATCTGAAAAATGCAAGTGTATTAGAAGGATAGATTATTAGAAATTAGATAAATGCATCCCCTAGAGGTGGCCAACTTTCATAACTGTAGCACAAACTCTAATCGGTCTTAATAATAAAAACCCAGAAATAGATTTTGGGGCTAAAGCTGAAGATCACAGAAACCAAGTGGATAGCCACTAGAGAGTTCTCACCTCTATAATGTTCAGACCAAAGAGATGATACTGTCCTTAGACTGCACTGTTCTTCAGACTGCACTGAGTTCCTGTCTCTTCCTACCTTATATTCCTCTCTAGTGCTGGGATCACCTTTGTGTGAGCTGTGTTTCTCTTTTAGACTTGTGTAGCTCAGGGTGACCTTGAACTATCAGAGATCTGCCTGCCTCTGTCTCCTGAGTGCTGGAATTAAAGGTGTATGCCACTGCTGCCTGACCTCTTATGCCTAACTAATGTTGCTAGTTTTGCATGCTGATCATCAGGCAAGCTTTATTCGGTAGATCATAGACAAATATCCCCACACGTGATCCTGAGCTACATTTTGAAGTCTTCTTTCTTTAATAAATAACGAATTTTGGTCTTTACTGCATTACTGTCCTCAAAGAATATTTTCACACTATTCTTTTGTTTTTGTACACTTGTTTTCTATGTGGGATCATCCTTTTTGAAGTTCATCAGAGTCAATATACACCATTATGAACATTTGTATTCAAATTTTCTATCTTCTGTACCAAAATGTTTTGAGTATATAGAAATCCTTTCCAGATTCATTCACCTACTGACCACAATACCAGTTTTTGCTTCATTTATTTGGAGCTCTGTTGTGTTTCTTATTATTTTATCCAAGACATTAAACATTTTTATACTATCATGTCTTACTATTAAACTTTGCCAGAGAAAAGTTTTGCCTTGCCAATTTCAAATGAACATACTTACAGTTTCTAAATGTGAAGTCTTTTCTAAGGATTTTTTTTCATCATACCTACTGCCAAAATTTCCTCAGTTGCCACTTTTTGAGAGAGAAACAAGCCCAGGAATGACAGCAGGTGATAGCTACATCCGTGAAGGAGTGAACTAAGGGCATGATCCTTCTATGAACCACAACCCACAAACTCACTTACCGTAATGTAAGAGCCAGAGCTAGGAATGTAGAGATACAGAATGTTGTCTTTGGATCATGACACTGGTGTCACACTCTTGATCTCATAATAGTTGAGATTACTGGCACGAGTCCTGTGTAAGATTTAGCCTGCAACAGCCTGCTATCAGAGGAATAAGAGTCTCTGCGCCTGCTTCTTTAGCTCCCAAGGACCTACTGAGAGGTCATAGTAGCTGGGGATGGGAGAGGTCATAAGTGCCCCTTCCCTGAGTGTCTATAGGCCCTTAATGGTCATCATCAATTCCAGAAAGCGAAAGGTGTCTTCTTCAGTGGTATACACTGCAAAGGAGCTCATGCTCCTCGGATAACCCCACACCCTAGACTCTGCAAGCAATCATAATGAGACCTGTGATGTAAATCAAAACATGAGAGCAAAAGAATGAGTAGGTGAGTAGAGGAAGAGAAAAGACATAAAGAGACACAGAGAGAGAGAGGACAGAAGAGGAGATGGAGCCAGGAAAAGTCCTGTCTGCCCAGGGGAACAGCGGGAAGGAGAGAGGGGAAGAGCATAAGTGGGCAGGGTCTTTCTTTTAAAGGGGTCCTTTGCACCTGCATGCAGACTATGCAACCATGGAATCCTGGGCTGACCAGGATACTGCCTGAGTGCATTCTGCCAGGTGACAGGGGCAGACCAGCATAATGCCTGAATCCTTCCATTCAGTCTTGATGATTCCAGTGCCTCGTATTCCTGCCGCACCTGAGACCCTCTGTTTAATCTCCCACCTTTTAATAATAAGAGGTAGGAATGTTGATATCCTGACATTATGCTGACCTTGTCCCTTGACAACGGGCAACCGCACACCAGCATTCAGGCAGATAGACAGCTCGAAGGGCGCTGCATTGCGTGGCTACGTCATCCTGGGTAAGGACTCAGGAAGCACGTGCAAGTTTTTCCTTTAAAGAAAGCGCCTCCCGTTTGTTCTCTTTCTTTCCATTTCTGCGACACCTACCCCTCCCTTTGCTCCTTTTCCCAATAGACTCCATGTGGGTTTTGTTGAGTTTTGTGGTTCAAATTTCGTCCCCTGGAGCTGGAGCTGCATCAAATAAGTGAGAGAGGAACAGACTAGGATAATGGAAGGTTAATAGGATTGAAAAAAAACATGAAAATGCCAAAATGTAACCTATTGTTATGTCTAATCAGCAAATGCTCATAACAATGAAGCTTAAAAAGTAAAACCTAGGGCTGGAGAGATGGCTCAGAGGTTAAGAGCACTCACTGGCTGTTCTTCTAGATGGTCCTGAGTTCAATTCCCAGCAACCACATGGTGGCTCACAGCCATCATATAATGAGATATGGTGCCTTCTTCTGGTGTGCAGGCATACAAGCAGGCAAAACACTGCATACATAATAATTAAATAAATCTTTAAAACAATTTTTTAAAAACCCCAAGAAAG